CAGCATTTTCCAGCTAAACCCTTCTCACCTTCATATATTTCTTCTTATTTAGTTATGGGAAAAGAGTAAAAGCCACACTAACTTCTAAGAGCATTATACTGGAGTTATAATACCCCAGCAAATTGCTGACTGCACTGCCTAGGGATTGAAAACCTTCAGAGGGAAGGGAAGGGAAGGGAAGGGAAGGGAAGGGAAGGGAAGGGAAGGGAAGGGAAGGGAAGGGAAGACAAAAGACTTCTTTTTATAGATTATGAGCAGACCTGGTAACAAAGACCTGGATACGACTACTGAAATAATTTTCCAGTCCAGATCAGAACAGCAATGTGGGGAAGAACAGAGTTCTGACCTAGACAGAGAAGGTGCTCAGCCTGGCTGTCCTGTGCTGCCTGGACACTGCAGTTCATACCTCCCCAGCCAGCAGCTTCCTGCCACTGCCAGGCTGCCCAGCCACCCCTTCCCCACCGCAAATCTCCACCTGGAACATGGCAAGTTCCAGTTCATCTCCTCCACTATTACATCTCATACTCTGGCCACTCCAAGAGGTGTCAGAGGAAGGTGTAAAAATTCCCATAAATAATAATTATGGAAAAAAAAATGCCACAGGGAAAGGTTTTTCTCCAGAAGTTGTGTCATTAGTGGTTGATTAAAGCCCTTAAGAGTGAAAGTTTATATCCCTTCTTTTTTTTTTTTTTTTTTTTTTTGCCCCATGAGGTAACTATGGCTCCAGATTATATATGAATCCTACTAATCTTCTGGCCCAAGGATAACTTCCAACAATGCATTTCATAGATTAATTACTCGCTGCATAAACAAGTACCAGATGTATCTAAGTAAGGCAAAACAAGCCACTGGAAAAGAAAAACTGGGCTCTTCCCCTGTACAAAATCACAACTCTCTGCCTGGTTTCTTGTTTCTAGAGCTGCACAACATTACTTCCCACCTGAAAGGGACACCATCAAATAACTCATAACAACTCAGACACAAAGAAATCATGGTGTCTCATTATGCTGTGTCATAAACAGCATTTGATACTACTAAATTCTAGCTGATATTCCTCCCCTCTTATCTTGTCTAAGCAAAGGATCTCTGAAGAAATCCATAAGCCCACTTCTCTGGAAAATATGGACAGATTTTTAAGGTATAAATCTTCCTCCAGCCAAATTTAGTTTGATGCATTGGCTTATACTTCCGTTGTGAAAAGCAAGCAGAAATAGGATCCAGGGCCTTCCTCTAAGTTCTGTCAACTCTTGAAAACCTTGTACCCTGCCAGGAAAGATTTGAGAGAGTCCTGCATTCTCAGAGTACGAGGAGTGCCCTTGTAGAAAGAAAAGCATGAGGGACTCGCAGGTCTCGTTTGCCCTGTCACCTTTGCACAGGGCTCTGAGTCATGGGAAAGGCCACAAGCCATCTCCACAATGCACTACCGTAGTTTTTAAAGTGCTAGTTAAAGGGGAAGAATTTTAACAATAAAGGTATGGGCTATTTCAACAAAAAATACAAATTTTTTCTTTTTCCTGAGCCGAAATGAAAAGGGGTTTGCATTTACCCAAAGTTTAATTTAGGTTCTTGAGTTTACAGAGCTTAGCTGTTTTACCAATCTGGAAACACACTTTAGGAAAGAGAAAGTGCATTCCATTTCCCTGAAAGTATCTCAGTTTTAATTCCTTCCCACTCAACAGCATAAGGAAAATAAATCTAATAAAGAGTATGTATAGGAATTGTTTGCTGTGGTCTTGGGAACATTTTTTAATGTAATTGTGTCTGCCTGGACTCGATATACAATGCAGCGGAATCCAAATCCTGTAGCTTTTAAATATTTGAAATATTTAAATTGTTTCCTTTCTGTTAGAATTTAATTAACATAATGCTCTTCTGTAAAAGAGATGACTCTTACACATAGAACTCCTTTAAGGCAGATGGCAGGAACTGCTGCAACAAAGAGTTTGCTGGCAAAGCAAAGACAGAGCTGCCCCCCTCAGCCAGCAGGAATCAGATATTAATTCATGGGGCTTTCTTGCTATTTGCAATGGGAAACATACCTTGCTGCAACAAGGCACAGGCTAATTTAAGAGGCTGCAATAACAGTTGCTGCACCACATCAGACAGCTGAAAAGTATCCTGCTGGTGGTTCAAAAGGCCAGAAGTAGGGTAGGTTTCATGGTTATCCTGTTTCTGGCAAATCTCTACCTGTGACACGACTATAATTTTCACCACATCAGACTTCTCTGTCACAACCAAAGTATTATTCCTGATACATGGGAATAGGACATGGATTATAGGTTGGGGAAACTTCTGTTTACAAAACATGTTCATTCAGAGTTCTCAATATAAGGAAGAAATAGCCACATCTACATGAAAAGCAAATCGACAGATTTAATCATATGTTTCCAAATCTGGACCCAGCATGAAGATGTTTTCAAAAGTAATAACTTCTTATACCATGATTCCGAGTAAATAAAACAACCCCTGCATTATTGTAGGACCTGAACCTCCCACAGTGCTTAACTTTCTGTGACCTTGTCCTGTGAAGATCTCTGTAATATGGGGAATACTAAAAATAATACAATTATAGTTGCAAAGACTTACCTAAAATAGGACAGGCATTTAAGAGACATTCTTTAAGCCCACTGTTACATGAAATAAACTGCAGTGGGATGTGGATACCCATCTGGTCAGCAAATATTAGTTCAGATGGAAAAATAACTTAAATTGAATTCATAAGCCATATAAGCCTTTGAATTCATAAGCCAAATAAAATTATAGATACCAGAGAGAATTTAATAGTATCTTATCACACAAAAACCCAATAACATAATAGCTATTACCTCCTGCAAGATAATCAAAAGTCATGAAAAGAGCTGCCTCTGATACAAGGGATGAGTTAATGCAAGGAGAGTGGGAAGTTTTCTCAAGAAAAAAGTATCTGACTTTATGTATCCATGGCTACAGCTCCTAAGGAAGATGCTATTTTATAAAAGACCTTTTTACATTTAATTGTGTCTTCACTAAAATGATACATGAGTATTTTTTAAGATGGGACATAGAAATAGCAAATAAATGTATCATGGTACAGAAGTTAAAAAAGCTTTTTGCATTAACCTGACATTAATCTATAGTACACTGCAGTTGATTTTTAAGCTTCTCTCCCCTTTTTTTGTAAAGTTTGGGTTAACCAGGATGACTGTGGCACCAGGTTATCTACATCTGCAGTGCTCTACACTAAATCCCAGGCTTCACCCTGTATCAGGACAACATGTCATCCATCAAGAATGTCAGGGATAGAAAGGTCTGCCACTCACAGCAGCAATCCTGGCATCCTCAGGATGGACAATCACATTTACTTTCCAGAATGACAATTTTCCTACGTTGTCCTTCACCATTCCCATGTATCCATTGCTCCTTTGCCTGGTGTCAGAAACAACTGAGCTCAGCACACAATCCTGACAGGCACAGCTCTGCCCTGGGAGCCAGGGGAGCAGAGAGCTCAGCACACAGTCCTGACAGGCACAGCTCTGCCCTGGGAGCCAGGGGAGCAGAGAGCTCAGCACACAATCCTGACAGGCACAGCTCTGCCCTGGGAGCCAGGGGAGCAGAGAGCTCAGCACGCTCTTCTGGAAACCAAAAGTGCCTATGGAAAAGATGGGGTTACTCTCTTTGAAAGGATTCCTAGTGACAAGACAAGAGGGGAAGGACACAAGCTGCTCCAAGGAAAACTCTAACTGGATGCGAGAAAGAATTGTTGATTCTGAGGACAGTTAGGCAGTGGAGAAGGCTGCTCAGAAAAGTGATAGAATCTGTTATGGGAAATATCAAGTCCCAATTTGAAAAGACCCTGGATAACTTCTGGTAAAGACCCTGCTTTCAACAGCAATTTGGACCTTATGGTTTTTATACAACCCCTCCTAGAACATTGCCTACATCATATAAATTTTGACCTAGAAAGTGAGAGTCATGTGATCTTTTCAAAAGCACCTAAAAGCAGAATTTGTACCCAAGAAAGCCGTATTATAGTTCTGAAATGTTTTGGTTGCACAACTTCCCTCTCCATAGGACAGCTCATAGATGGAGTGATCATATGCCCTGGAAAGACTCAATTATATACCAGATCTCTCATTCCTTTCAACACCTTTGAGTTCCTTCACTGTCACAAGTCATTAATCCTTTTATTGGTGTAGATGGCACAGTATGAGTTCTACTGAAGAAATAACAAAGAAACAAGTCAAGGCACCACATGTTACAATTTTAGTATCGTCTGCTACATTTTTCTCTGAAAATAAATTAATTTTTTCAATATTCATGGTGACTATACCAGGATGTGTGCCATTTTTATGGAAGGAGCCACTGGTCCTGTATTCCCAAGCAATAAAATCCTGTCAGCACAACTAATGGATGTCAGATGAATAAGCTTAGAAGAGCAAACAAGGGCACTGTCAAAACCATGTCATCAACCCAGAGGACTATTTGTAGTGATATTATACACTCCACTGCCTCCAGTCACAGCCCAGGATACTCAAAATCCATGTTCAGATCTTGCAAAAATGGATCCAGTCTGGCTAATAACCCACCAGAATTCAGAAACCATACTGGATATAAAAAAGGCGGCTTTATTTTTTTGTGCTTTGCTTTTGATGGAGATTAAACAAATTGAATAGGCGAGGTTATCAGGTCATTATTTGTACATTACAGCTGTCCAGCCAGAGCTGGACAGACACTGTTTGCATGGCTTGTTGTCTGATTAAGAGGGAGAATAAGTCTCTGAGAGTCATAAAAGGGGGAGGGGGGAGAAGGTTGTGATTGAGAAAAAAGCCAAAGGCTGATAGAGTAACTGAGTAGAAATAGTTGCCTTCTACACAAGTCACAGCCACCTAAAAAAACCCTCAAGAAAGGAAACTGATGAGCATGTTGCAGATTTGAAGTGGGAATCAGAACAGTCTCTGATACTGTTCTACATCAGAAATCTGGACTGAATCTTCCACCAGGGGAAGAACAAGCAGAGCAGAATGAAAGGTGAGATCCTGAAGCATTCAGATTAATAATGCAATTTTCCTCTTTGCAAAGCATTTCCTTCCCAAGCAAGAGTTTGTTTTGGAAGCCGTGTTTCTGAAGCCAACTGTTGCAGGTCTGAAAGTATTGCTTATCTTGCATGCAGGAATGCTGGATTCTTTCATGGCAATTTTTTGATGCAAAATTCAGTATTGCAGAAGATTATGTATAATTTTAATATAAATATTTTAATTTTGAGTGAAAATTAATTAGTGCCTTAAACTGTAGTCTCAAAGTACAACTTTCATTTATATATTTATCATATTTCATACTATAATCATACAATATTCCATCAATAGATATTCCCTGTAATTCACATTTGATCTCTGTAAGTCAATAAACATCAATTACTATATTTTCAAAAGGTATCAAGTAGCAACTAACTAAAATGTTTTGCATTTTGAAACAGTAAATAGTAAAAATGATTTGAAGCATCTCAAAAGTGATGTTAGAAAAGGATTCATCATTCTCACTTTCTTTAGTCAAAGAAAATCTAATTCTTCAATAGTGGGTTTTTTAGTGTTTCATTATATGCATACAAGCACAGCTTTAAGTACCTTGTTCTCAAAGTTAAGATCATTAACAAGACATAAAAGGTAAAAACTTTTATTTTTTTCAGTTAAAACCACCTGAACATCAGGGAGCAGTGGATAATTATAAATACTAAATATTACTAAGTACTCCTGTAAACTAATTTCTCTTTTCAAATGCTTATTGAAAAATGTCTGTGTAGAAACCTGCATCTATGGGAAGTACAGCTGGCATTCAGAGAATGGAACTAAGGGAAAAAGAATACACAGATATTTTAAAGGAGAAACTTACAGAATCTGGATTGTTGAAAAAGTACTGCCAATAGTTTTTATAGCTATGTCTTTGAAGCTTGTAATTATTTTAATGTTACATTGACTCAGTTCTTCCAGGCATTAATATTAGTAAAACCAATGCAAAATAAAAGTTCTGCTTGTAATTCTTCTGACACAAGATGTCTTAAAGTTGTTACTACCACAGAAAGAGAGACATTTCAATTTAATAATTTTAGAAACTGTCACATTCCCTTCAAACATCACTGCTCTGCTGATGGCAAATCCTCTTGAAACCCATTTGTACTTAAGAAAAAAGCATGGGAAGTACTTCATTTTAAGCATTCATATTAGCATTATTGTCATTCTGCATTACAGAAGTGCTTAACACCTTCTATCATTTATTTCTGTTTTATAAAAGAGCACACCCTGTGGTATCTACATTATTGTTTATTGTGGAACTGTGTACCTTCTGGCTGTGTTTATGGCCTGTGCACTGCCCAAAGACAAACATTTTAAACTCATTTAACACCTTCTTTCACTTGTGATACAGGTAACTGGCTTTTGGTTTGTAGTGTCATCTTGTTGGCACACACAGCTCATGGCTGCCCTGACAAATGCCTCTGCTACACAGCCTCAAAGACTGCAGACTGCAAGAACAGAGGATTTACTGAAATTCCTGCCCGTTTACCTCCTGAAATTCAGATACTGCAGCTGCGGACTTGTCATCCAACAGCATTGTTCGATTGCCTGAGACATTTGGAAACAGCACAGGGAATATAACATTGCTCTCTCTGAAGCATAACAAACTTCAGAAAATGGAAAGAATTCTGCTGGAGTCGCTTCCAAACCTGAAAGTGGTTCTCTTCAAAGATAATCCCTGGCAATGCAATTGCAATATCTTTGGCATGAAACTGTGGCTGGAGAGCTTTCTATACAGAGGTAAGGAATTTTCTCACTACATATGGTGTACATGAGAACATTTAAGCAGCATCTAACTGATCTTCCCTTCCATGGCTTCAAAATTTACCCCACACAGCACGTCACTTCCTCAAATAAACACACTAAACTATATTCTTATGCATAGCTCAGAATGTAAGTGCTTTTATAAATATAAAAAAAGGGCTTTTATTGCAAACTAGAATCAGAGAGGGGTTTCATATTAGTGCCTAGAGAAAGAGCAATGATACACACACGGTCATGCAGCAGGTACAGGTGTGTTCTCTAGAGTGTGAATTCAGATACAGACATTTCTGAATATGAAACAAGCATGCTTGTGCACATACACCTGTTTTAATTCTACCAAGGTATTTTTGCTGGAAACCAACCTACTCTTTTAAAGCTTTTTCCCTGTTGCATGATGGCAAACATCAAGACAGATACCAGTACTGAACAAACTTTAGAGAGCCCAGGATTCTAGTTTTTCCATTAATTATGACTTAGTAGTTCTTTAATATTTTACGAATGTTTAGTATCACTTCCTAATTTGCTGTTAACCAGAAAAGGAACTCAATTCATTGGCAATTTCCTGACAGAAATGTGACATGGCATCACACAGGGAAAAGTGAAGTTTATAAATAGTAGTGTCAGTATTTTGGTCACACCTGCTTTTAAATATATTCATGAGTTATGCTGTGAAAAAGAGAATATAATTTCATTCTAAAGGAATTAAGTATAAAAAGAAATTAATTTATTTCTCCCAGGAGGTTTGTTCAGACTGAGAAGTCGGAACAGCAGGGCAATTTTCTTTCTTCTACATCAGGCTTTGATGCTTGCATGTGACCAAACTACTGATTACCTGTCTCTGTGCCAGAACAGAGCCCACTGCAGCACAAGAGATGTGGAGATGGCCCATGTGGCCTGAGGCTGATGGACTGCCTTTTGCAGGGATCAGAACTCTGCAGGCCAGCTGGAAAACCCTGCAGGTCATGCAGGGACACAATTACTACTGGAGTGGTCTTCAGTAAATTTACTTCTATGAGCCACCTTTTAGAAAAGAATAAACTCCTCTCAGCAATAAAATCTTAATATCTTGAATGAGTAAAATATTACTTTATCACAGGGCTTTAGTCTGGAAATTCAGCAGGGTTGTCTTCTCTGTGAAGAAGAATGAAATGATCCAACATATCAGATTATCTTAATTACTCTGCCAGCATCATAAGGACTATCATTTATTTCAAAAAACAATGTTGTCTAGAAGTTCAGTGATATCCTTTCATCTTTCTGAACTCTGTAAAGATTAATTAAATGAAGTGACATGGAATTTACAAATTAATTTTAACAACAAGCTTTAAAGGAAGCCCAAGTGTTATGCTCTCTTCTGTGTTTGTAGTTCTCTAAAATTACTTGTCTGAATCACATTAAGAAAAGTTAGTTACATTACACATTATGACACACATATGATCTATATCCATAGTCAAACACATGGAAGATGTCTGGAACCTTTGGGTTTCACCAGTACAGACTGAGACCTGCTATATTCACATCTGTCCTGGAATATCAGCATTATTTGTGGAATAGTCTCCAGATTTCAGTTTGGCTCCATCTGTATTTACTACTTTCTCAAAGTCTTTTCGGGATGAAAATTTCTGTGCCTGGCTTTAGATGAAAGGTGAATTGCTTTGGATGGAGAAGAGAAAGAAAATTCAGTTGATTTGATTAGTTAATTTTTTAAAATATGTCAACATTGATTTTGGCCTTGTGGACTCCTTGACACACCACACCCCTAAAGCCCTGTGCTCTAACTAGGTACATGAGGGCTACATTTGCTGTATTTTCCTCTACACACTGAGGAGCAACCATGTGATTTACCAGGACTGTGGGTTCCTACTTCTCTCCCCATTGTACTAAAAATCTCCTTTGGGAAGCTGGCTCTAATCAACCATGAAATTTAGCATTTGAGTAGTAATAGATTGATTAAACTCAACTCCATTCTATCTACCTGTGTATATTTTCTTATCACAAGCCTTGCTTCAAAAAATCACTCACGGGTACTCACGGGTTCTCTTTGCCCTGTTACAGTAAACATACAATGTCAGAATAATGACAATTTCATGGGATATTTCAATCAAGAGGGAAATATTGTGTAAATACATTGTTTCCATTTCTCACCATAAAAATTAGCAGTGGTCAGAAGCTGAACAAACTGAATTTGCAGTGAACAATACCTCTTTGTTTATCTATGAGAATTCTTATTTTTCTACCACCATGTTATTTTTTTAATACTAACATCCATAAAAACACAGATAAACCTAATTCCTGATGAACAGCTTCTTGAAAATGCTCTCTTATGTGAGTTTTGAAGTGTAATAATCTCACCACTGACCTAACTGAACAAAAGCCTTTAAAACATAAATCTTTAGAAGCATGAAGTTGAAACTCACGATCAATTTACTTCAGGTTTGTAATAATTTTACATTAAGGTGATTCAGAAATGGTCAGATATTGAGACCATTGTTTTTTTTTTTCCCCAGGAGGAATAAGCGACGGCATTATCTGTTCAGCGCCAGGGATTCGGAAGGGGAAGGACCTCCTCAAAGTTCCCTACGAGCTCTTTGGGGCTTGTCCTCTGAGGACAGCTCAGGTGCACCTGGCCAGCAGCCACCACCACAGCTTGGAGCACCGGAGCCCGCTGAAGCACGGCCACCCCGGCGAGCTCGGGGACAGCGGCCGCGCCAGCTGCGAGCCCAAGGCCAAGGCCAGGCCGGTCAGCCTGCGCCACGCCATCGCCACCGTGGTCATCACCGGCGTGGTGTGCGGCATCGTGTGCCTGATGATGCTGGCAGCTGCTGTCTATGGCTGTGCTTATGCTGCAATCACCGCCAAATACCACAAAGAACATTTGGCCCCGGCCAAGCAGCACGGGACCCCCAAGGGAAAGGAGCCGTTTGAGAGCTCCTTGGCCTGAGTCGCTCCTGTCTTTGGCTTCTTGAAAATAAAGCCCTCACTGCAGCTGAAAAGCCTGGAATCTCAATAGCATTGTTTTCATAGAAATTACTGGGGTTATTTTATTTCTTTTTTTTTTTCCCCCTTTTTCATACTTTTTTAAAAATGCAAGCATAGATACTGTTTGGAATATCCACTAAGACAACAGAAGTTTATTTGTGTATGTACATTCCAAAGCCACTATTTAGGGCTGTGTGTTTGAGGTCACCAAATCTTGACATAGTGAGTTTAAAGTATTTCACCATCCTTTACTAACCCTTGATGCAGTGTTAGACCAAGACATGATCTATGGTGCACCTACGGTCAGTGGGTGACAGGAGTGATGCTCTGCAAAGAAAAACAGAAAATAGCCATCTAACTTAGTACAAATTTAACTAATTAAACTATCTTAGAGAGTACAAATTACTATTTAATTCAAGATGTGTACAATTCACAAGCAGTTTTCAAACCAGACACTCTGTGCACTGCCAGTGATAACATAAATGTGTAAAAAGGATTTCCAAAAATGTGTTTCCAACTTTCCAGGGTGCCCCAGGAAGCAGCAATTCAACATTACATCCATTTCCTAACTTAGAAAATAGGAAGCACCTTGGTAACTATTGCATATAATATTTTAATTAATTAATAGGGAAGAAAGAAGAGAGCTGAGAAAATGCTGAAGGAAGAAATGTTACAGTGCTTTGGATACAAGCCCCAAAAGGAGTACACAGAGCATACCTGAAGACACTGCCTGCTACCCTGCTGGCTTACAGGCTTGCTACAGACTTCTCTGAAGCCACTTGTTCCCAAATCCTCACACAAGTGCTCCATTTTGCAAACGCCATGCCAGCAGATGCAGCTCCCATCACAGTGCCGCCCTTCAGCAGGAGGATAACGCAGCTGCATGTTCACACATCCTCCCTGTCGGGGGAACACTCAGCTGCATTCACTCAGGGTCCATCCCTACTCTCTGCAGAGCTGTTTCGCCATCAGAGGAAATCAGAGCCAAAAGCATTTGAATACCATAAGTTTAAAATTCCAATAATATTTTGAGTGTGCAGAGGTAGTTATTTTAATGGTTCTTAGAAATTATTTTAAGGCAAGCAGCAGCCGTCAGGAGCTCCATTCCGCTTTTCCAAGACTAGATAAAATACATTTTAGGCTGTTTGTGACAGACACCTCATGCATCCTCTAACTGTCCCCAGTGACAGGGATAAAGACCTGCCCAGGTAGCCAGTGCAGAAATCAGCAGTGTTTATAGTATTGAGGAAAAAGGCCATGGAACAATCTGCTTTAAGGGCAAGGGGAAGCTGTGGAATTTGGAGATCTGCACTCTCCTTCCAGCAGATGGATTCTGAAATGAATCTCTGTAGCTGTTCCAGTAACAGCCTCAGCTGAGTAATGGGCTCTGTGGCAGGAGTCATGTAACCCTTGCTCTTATCTACTTTGTAATAATTGCAACCTAAATATTAAAGCTCATTCCTGCATCTGCAGTTACTTTCATGTCTAGAGAAAATTAAGCATCTCAGTCTTAATCTAAATCTAGCAGCTATTGAAAACAATCAATTACTGTCTGTTCTTTTTTTCTTTCTTTTTTTTTTTTTAACTGCTAAGTACTTCATATCATTATTAGGCTCTGTTCATTCTTCTCTGTCCTGAACTGAATAAACCAAGCTGTTTCAAATTTTTCCTGCAAGACCACATTCTCTAAAAGTTTTTCCTCCTGCATTCCTTGGAGCCTTTTCAGTTCTTTTACATTTTGTTTAAAATGTGGTACCCTAGACTGGGAACATTGCTTCGGCTGAGACATCATCAGCACAATATTTTTAGAATATTTATATTTTTTACAATATCCTAATATGTGGAACATATGTATTCAGGCTCTTTAATCTGATCTCTTGATGTTTACTTTTTTTTCTTGTAAATATTTGGTAAAGCTTAATGAATAATCTAATCTACTTTCAGAACTAAGTCATTTAAATATGTAAATCTACATTTTTTCACTCTTTTATCCATTTACTGCCATAACATTTTGCAAAGCAAAACACTGTTTTTCAGATACAGAAGATGAAAGTAAGATAGGATTGGATCTTACTGCCTATTGGCCCAAAAATGGGTTTGGGGCTATGCCAAATCACTCTTTTTCCACAGCAAAGACCTAAAATCAGCACAGTTGTACCAAAAGTGTAGATCCTGAGATGAAAGCTAATAAACTTCCAACCTCCAGAGAGATTTCACCCTCAATGTTTCTAACAGGCTCAGACACAGCAGCACAGCTTCTGTCACAAATCACTTCACACTCCTGCTATTTTCAAGCAAAAGAAAAACAAGTATCAACTTGGTATTTCCTAGTCAGGAATAAACCAGAACATCTTCCTGTAAAAAGGCAGTCCTAGCACCAAAAACAGACTTTCCTCTTTGTATCATCATTCATATGGTTAAAAAAACAGAAGGAAAAAAGAAAAAGGTGAGGAAGAGTCAATGAAGGGCACAACAACATTTAAAGAAGCTCATTCTGAATCACACTGAAGATGCTTTGGGGATTTTCATGCACACACAAGGCTGTAAATTGATATGGAGTTCTGCCAGAAAGCAAAGTATTAAATATTTCCATTAGTTCCCTCTGCTCTGGGAACAGAGAGAGCTAATCCATGCAAAATCTGGTGCTATACTTTCTAATGTGCTGTTTGCCAAAGGAAAAAAAAAACCAACAACCAAACAAATAAAACAAACAAACAAACAAAAAAACAAAAAAAAGAAGGAAAAAAAATAACAGAGAAATTTTCCATTTAGTGTTTATTATGGTTACCACAGTAAAAATGTTTGCAATTAACAAATTCAGACATTTCCAAAGATAAGATAATAACAGAAAATGAACAGAGAAAAGTATTGATTCAATTATTTAATAAAGGTAAAATAATTATTTTTCAGTAGAGGAAACAATTTTCAGCTACTGATAAACAGAGATAAAAGCCACAATTTGTTGTCTATAAAAATTATTGACTACAAGTGGAAGACTGAATATAGGGAATCCCCAAAAGCACTGCCCTTAATTTATAAAGCTTAGCAATGGACATCTGCCACTGAAATTATTTGTCTGCACAGATTTATTTTTCAGATAAAGGATCCTGAGAAAGCTTTGTTGTCCTTCCAGCAATCTCATGAGAGTATTATAGCAAACATAGTATTTTTTCTAATCTCTGTGAAAACACTCTTCCCACTGAAAGCCAACAAAATATCAGGACATGCCACTCTGCAAGGCATTTGCAAGGACAGGGAAAGCACACATATTGTTGTATTCCTGTCTTTCTTATCAAGGCTCACTATATTGCTTTGTTTGCAGAAAAACTTTCTAAAATTTCATTTTAGAACCAAAATTGAAGACTATAATACATCCCTGTTCTTCACAGAAAATTACCAATATTATCTATATTGAAAGACACAAAGTTTAATTTTAAACATAATTGCTTGCCATATTTGTCTTTCCATTGAGCACTTGCAAAAAGTCAATCAAAATTCAGCTTCATTATTTTCTAGTAATACAATGTCCAAACAAAATCTGTCTCCCTCTTCCTGAATATCAAAGTAGCACATTTAATGACACTACACACAGCTTATCTCTCATGAACAATTAACAGGAAAATAATAACAATTATAACAATCTGTCTTTCCTGACCAGGAGACAAGGACACGCAGGCTTCAGTCAAGCATCCAGAAAGGATGCCTACTTTTACAGCTTGGATCTGTTTAATTTGGATAGTAACCACAATCTTGGTATGTCCTGGGTTTATATTATCTGAAATGTGGCTGCAAGTTCCCCAGATCGGGGGAAATGGGCAGCAACACCAGCCACAGTAAACCACAACAGGAGAGGGAGAAGGTGTAGGAATCAAAAGCCCATAATAAACAAACCAAGAAATACAAACTTGACACCTTTCTCCAGTGGTACTGATTGCAGAGGGATCCCTCCATGTTTTAGGGCTATGTACACTTCATGCTCCAATTTTTTGAAAAGGTGTCATCCTCATTTCAAGATAAAACACATGAGAAAACACGGTTGATGTTTGGAAATACAGTCCAGTGAAGGGAAAATTAATTAATCAGTCTTTGGGTTTTAAAGTGATAGGAATTTATTCATGTTTATGATTGCAGCTTCAACCTTGCACAGCAATATTTGCAGTTATGCAAAGGACCCAGCAGCTCTCCTGCTGCCTTGTTCTGGTTGATCTGCAATCAGGGATTTATTTTTCTGGCAGCAGAATTCTTTAGGAAAATGCCCCTGGAATCTGAATGCTATTAGATCACAAGGATCTTCCTCCTCCACAAATTATGTAGAACTGAAACCCAACCCACCAACCAACAAATCCCAACAGCAAAGCAGAAGTGCAGAAGCAAAGAGCAGATGCTCTCTGCCATTTACTATACATATTAATATTAAACAAGTTGGGATGCATCTGTCAAAGTCATGGATACTCTAAGAACAAGTGGTGAGGAAAGCCCAAGAACTAGATAAATAGAGATTAAATTCTCCAGTTAACACCAGCAGAGAACTACCTCAAAAAAAGCAAAAACACTATTAAACCAGTCCACACACAGATTCTGTGTGCTGAAATGAACTGAGAACAGATGCAAACGAATGTAAAGATCTGAATTTTGAGTATGTCACTAACTTCAGCTTCCCTGCTCAGCCAGTGGAAAGGGACAGTACTTCAGTACTTCACCACATCTCCAAAGCATCCAGGGGAAGAGTTTACCTCTCTCCACATTTTTCCTCAAACCATCGTTCCCAAGCAATGGCTCCCAGCTCCATGTGAGTTGCTTAATGTTAGGCTGTACAAATACACATCTCAGTTTTCCTGAAGCTGGAAACATCAGTCTGTGTACCAATATTAGATTTATGAATACAAAAACAATATTCAAAATGAACAAGAAACTCTAGAAAAACATAAAATCGTGGTTTTCTACCAAAGCATGAAAAACATT